CATCAGGGAGATGATTCCATAATTCACTCTGCGTTTGTCTTCGTACACCATAAATGATTCCTTTCCAGGTGGGTGCACCCTTACTATCTTCTTTCGGCATAATATCTCGGCGTCGTTGGTGCTAAGCCAATCCATAACCAAAACGATGTCGAAACCGTTTAACTCCATGGGTAATAGCTCTTCATGGAATTCGTTTCCATTTAGGTTGATGACGATGTTCCTAATACGATTACTAACAGGTACGAATTTGCCACTGGCAACTTCTACAATGAGGGCCTTATCAAGTTTTTCTACAGGCAATGCTAATTTCCCGCCAAATTTATGCGATACAAAGGAGTAGTAGGCTACGGAATCAAATATTATATTCGCAGGCAAACCATTTACAAGGAAGGTACCTGAAGCGATGTCTGCTGCCTCCTTCGCAGCCTCGAGCGTCATTTGGAAGGCTCTCGCCTTCGGCTTCGGTGGTATGTTGGGTCTTCTTGTCTCCTTCTTCTTCTGGCATTCCTTCGAAATGTGCCCCTCCTCGTTGCACTCATAACATACCGTCTTAGTGAATATGCATTCGTTGGTATAGTGCCTAGGCTTTCCACATTTGAAACAAGTGACCCCTCCATCACACTTCCCATAGTGCTTCTTCTTGCACTTGTCACACCACTTCGCTTCTGATCCTCCTCCCCTCGAACTAGATTTCAAGAATTTACTCTTCTTTCCAGACCTTGAGGGTCCGTCAAACTTCCTTTTCTATCCTACCTCTACTCTCTCCAGACCCTTCTCTCGTATCTGGGTCTCCACATTCTTAGCAGCCCAGATGGCAACTTTCAGAGTGGTAGTTTGCTTGAACATTGGACTAAAGTCCGCTGGTAATCCGAGGGAAAATTTGTTAACCTTGGAGAGTTCAGTTGGAACGAGGTGAGGAACAAGCTTCATTTTCTCAGTAAAGCTTGTAGTGTATTCAGTAATGCTCATTCTTCCCTTCTTCAGATTCTGGAATTCATTGTTAATCTCCAGAGGATCCTGCTCAGAGCAGTATTGCATCTTCAACTATACCAGAAAATCCTCCCACGACATCTTGCTTGCTTCACCTTTGGGCATTGAATCAGCTAATAGCTTCCACCAAATTAGTACTCCAGATTTCAACAGAGGAACCGCGAGTGCGGTCTTCTTCCTATTGCTACACTCGCAACTCTCAAACATCGTCTCCATCTCAGAGATCCAGTTCATGACTTCCACCGGTGTCAGGCTTCCGGATAGACTCGGTGCTTTGGATGCCATGAAATCCTTGTATTAGCATCCACGTCCGTCGTTTCCTCCATCCTGGTGGTTTTGCCTAACTATCGGTGGGTTGGCTTGACCAACAGTCCCACTGTAGTTTCCCTCCTCAGTCTGCCCTTCATTCAACTCGGGGTGTTCGATCTGTATGGTCGCTTCCTCTCGATTTTGCTGGAGCAAACGCCTGGTTTCCTCTATTTGACGATCCAACATCGCCTGGATCATCACTTGTAATCCGACCATCGTTATTGGCCCGGAAGCGGCTTCCACAACTGGTATTTGCTCATTCACCGGGGGTTGGTTTTTGTTCCCATTTGCATTCACGTTTCCGCTACGGGTCCTTTCCATCTTGATCTATACACCGAATAAGGTGAATTTAGATCTTTATTTAGGACTGATGTTCAAATCATCCTTATCTCTCCGAAACTTTTACATGCTAGTTCTAATATCGTAGTCATACGTTTAGAATCCTAAACATATAAAGTTTCCAGATCCAGTCGGCAATACACCATAGATCGGAACAATTAACAGCGTATCAGGCACAAAGCATTTAGCACATAAAAGCATTTTAGGCATAATACCTAAAATAAGCTAGTGCTCACACCTCACAATCATCGCTTAGCATTCTAAGTTTAAGTCTAGAAATCCTACAAATTCCTAGTTCGCTTAAACTAATGCTCTGATACCAACTGTGACATCCCCAAAATCACGGCCAGAAAAGACCAGTTTTGTTTATACTTTATTTCAAAATCAGAGTAATCTTTTAATAAAGAGTTGTGGAATTTGTCCCAAAACAATAATATGATAAAGATTTATCAAAAGCATTTCCTTAGAAATGTATTTCATTAAAATACTCGGGATGTCATGTTCGATACAGTACATAAGTATAAACAATACAATATAAGCCTTACTACATTATTTCATATCTACAGGCCTATATATGTAATCCCTCATCCAAAACATCACATCTATGCTCACGTGCCACTACCTGTAATACAAAAAACTGAGTGGGTCAGGCTTGGGAGTCTAGTGAGCACATAGAGTTTTCATCCCACAATAAATAAGTTTATTAATTTCATCAATCAACAATAACACGATTACCCGTTCCCGTTATCCTCACTTTACGTCCCTAAACACCTATCGTAAGGGAGTTAGCCTAAGGATCATCATCAGGATGGACACCACTGCTAAGGGGGTTCCTTAAGAATAAATGTCCTAAAAGCAACCATGTGGGGGATGGAGTACAGCGGGGAACACATCGTTCACAAACACCTATAGGTTGTGAGCCTGCCAGTGTTCTACTGGACTGTCTAGAAGAGTCCGTGGTCGTCATCTATACTCCGCTAGATGACTGGATCAACAACAACAACATCGAGGCCTCCCACCATTTTATCACACATCACCTATTACATCTACCCATGTTTTACCCCAACATTTCATAGATATAAAATACATATACAGTTTAAATCATTGAAAACATGTATAAAAATGTTCATCCAACATAGATAGTAAGTATTCAGATAATATGCACACATAGCATGTAATTTATATAAAATACTTCATATCTATGTGTAAGCTGAAAGTAACTATGCACTCACCTGAAAGGTGCTGACTCAGCACTCGGACAACGCTTCAATACTCTCAAAACACTTTTCCTTCGATAAAACCTAGTATCAATACCACTAGGGTTTAGTCTAACGTCAACCGCGACTAATTAATCGTCTGACTATTATTATTATTATATAAACGTTAAATAACACTCAATATAACTCATAATAATAGCCTAAATAATTATTTTAAGGACCTAATAACATTACTATAATTATTCGAAAGCTATATTAAAAATTGTGTAAGCGTAGCTCACTTACAACAGATTTTATAGAAAACTAGGCTTTATTTGGAGTAGCGTTTCGAAACTGAAAGACCCTTTTTCTCGGGACTCCGGGAGTCCTGGGGCTTCCTTAGGGTGCCAGGAGATTACCTAGGCTTAGGGGAGGGTTTGGAAACTTAGAGAGAGAATGAGAAATGGTGTGAAAAGTTCGGAAATCCTCGCATCTATTTATAGGGGTCGAGGTTCGGATTTACGCTGGGCGTACTCTCGGATAGGGTTGCCACCCCGGATCCAGCTGTCTTGCATTTGTCGGAAGGATAAGGCCATAGGGTACGTTAGGCGTACCTAAATCCAATGTGGGGCGTAGGGCAAAGCGATGTGTCCTTCATCCGAAGCGAACCATGATCAGCAAGCGACGGTTAGGATTGAGCCACATCACCACCTCGCAACAGATTTTGCAAATTCATACTCCGACTTCTAAAAATCATAACTTTAACATACGAGCTCCGTTTTCGACGTTCCTTATATCCACGCAAAGGTGGGAACGTACTCTACAACTTTTGTTTAGACTCCTTCAGCTAATTTTGAATTTATTTTAAAAGTTATATTATTAACAGGCCGGGACAGGATTGGTCCGTTAAAAATTCATAACTTCTTCATTCGATGTCCGTTTTCGCCCATCTTTTTCTCGTTACGCTACTCATAACGAGATCTTCGTTTCTCATTTAGATTGTGTCGGCTAAAAACCGCTCGATCTAATATTCGAATTTCGGGTTGTACACTACTAATCTCGATCTAATATTCGAATTTCGGGTTGTACACTAGTAATCCGAAACTTCAAAAAATCATAACTTCCTCATAGGAAGTCAGATTTGGGCGTTCTTTTTATCTACGCTCTTAGTTCAACATACACTATGAATTTCGTTTAGATTGCTAAGGTTAAATCTCGCTCTATCATAAATTCACTATTTACGCTTCCCGGTATCGTGCCGATTTTGTCGTGAAACTTCAACGGGTCATAACTTCTTCGTTATTACTCGGATTTCGGCGTTCTTTATATCCCCGGAATCCTTGGTTCGACTACTACAACTTTATATAAAGATATCGGGCTTATCTCATACTTTAATTTTGATGCTTATTTTTATTTTTTATTAATTATACATTTATAATTAAATAATAAACACATAAATACACATAATTCACATAATACTCAAATATTTCATCTTTATTACTTCAAAAAGAGTTACAATAGTTGACCTAGACTATTACATCGTCTAAAATCCTTAGCCCTGAAACCCGTGCGTTACAATGTTGAATTTGTTCTTGTAAAGCTTGTGTAGGGACTTTAGGGTTGCTTTCAATCTGCTGCACTATTTTCTTTGCCAAGAACTTGTAGGTACAAGCTCTCACATTTCTTGTTTGTAGACATCTATGCTCTTTTACGTAGGACTTGATCTCCCAGTCAACATCTTGTTCCCAATTGCTAGCATAAAGTTCCCAAGGACACTTGATGTCTTCACTTTCTTTATTGCTTTGACTGGGCCTACATGGGTCAAGTTGACCAAGGTCTGGTATAGTACCTTTGCAAATAGGTCTCAATCTATTTTTTCATTTTTATAAAGTCTAGTTCCCTCCTTGTCTCCACAACATGTTTTCTTATTGCATATTTCAATTCTTCAAATGAGGTGAATTTTTGGTAAACATAGAATTGATCACTAACTCTTGCTTCACTGTTTTCCATTGCCCTTCGGATTGCCTTAATTGAATTTCTTCTCCTATTTCTCCTACCTTCATCAGATGATGACTCATACAAGAATACCTCATTGTTTACAACCTCAATATCATCAATATCCCTTGTTTATGTTTCCTTGACATTTGACCCTCCAAGATCACCCACCTACTCTATATCTTCATCAATATGTAACAGAAACTCATTCATATCTATCTCAGGTTCATCTAGGAGGTTATCTAAGTCTACTATGAACTCACTATCACCAATATCATCACTAGCATTGCTATCATCATCATCATCATCTCTATTGTTACTTTCATGAGTAATCCCTTCAGGTTCTTTATTTATAATTTCATCAAATTTATCAAATATACCTTGTGTTTCACATTGGGTATCAATTTGGTCGCTTTCAGTTTCTTTTGTTGGCACAACATCTTGTTTGCTGATCCAATACAATCCCCTGTTTCAGTTTGCTTCCATTCCAAAAACAGCCTTCTACTACACGAAGGTTGATCAAAGATTTCTTTTATCCTAACTTTACTAGGGGTAGATGCCATTGTATATGTATGCAAGATTGTTTTACCATGTTCAACATAAAATTCAATCAGTTTATGTTTGCCCATGTATGTACCCAAATGGTTAATTTCACTATCACTAGCCAATGCAAACAACCCAAAGTCCAAATCTGAAAAGGGCCTTTTGAAGTGGTAATAAAGCAACTTACCCTCCTCAACACAGCCTAGGGTCTCCATCATCTCATCAATATGGTGCACACAAAACTCATCAATATCCAATAGATAGACGTATCTTTCATTGCCCTTGATGTACTTCCTTCCAGGAAACTTCGTAAACTCTCCACCATAGAAAAATCTGATGGAGAAGATAGTTGGATGACCAGCTGTAAAAGAGAAAGCATCAACTTATTACCTTGCAATTTGTAGGTGATAAATTCAACTTTTGAAAAGAAGGGGTTACCATAATGTTTTTCAACATCTATTTCTTCCATGTTTGCTCAAATCCTCTGACCCACCTTTTTTGCTTCGATGATTCTTGGAGAATTTTGAGGAGTTAGGATTTCTACTGAAGAGTTAGAGATTAAATGAGAGAGAGAGAGAGAGAGTGACAGGGAGGTGAAATGATCGGAATGAATAACGATTGGCATTGCATTTAGGCGCCATGTATAAAATGACGAAAATACCCCTCATGTGCGAAGCACGTGGGGGACTTAGTGTTTTGAATTGACGAGTAACGGACCTAGGGACCAGGCGGGTAATAAGAAGAAAAGGTAAGGATGGTCCGAGTGAAAAACAAAAGATAGGGACCAAACGCGCAACTTTAGCCAAACCATAGGGACTATTTCAGTAATTTGTTCAAATAAAAAATGCAACCTATTATGAACTGTAAGCAAGGGTTTGCCATGCATTTGATATAAACTTTAAATTGAGGATCAAGTTAGAAGATAATTAGAATAATGTATCATTGAGTTATTGGGTTATATTAAAATTTGAAAGATTTACTGATTTAATATGATTTTTAAAAGATAGATATCATATATTTCAAAATTCTTATCATGGGTGCTAAATTTTATTTTGGAAATTTGAATTGAATCTGATTTCTTACAAAAAAAAAAAGCAAAACAAAACAAACAGATAAACAATTGTAGAAATCATAGAAAAACGTCACGTGTCAACATGCAAGATTTTTAGGTTTCTAATATATTTATTAGAATATGTTAATGCAAATTAGACTTATATCTTCCAACCTAGTATTGATCCATTACATCATCACAATTTCTACAATGAGAACATATCGACTTATGGCAAATTTTATCTTCAAAAAAAGGATCATAGCAAAATACATAACAAGGTAAATTTCATCTTCATAGGATAGTATAGCATATATATATATATATAGTATGTACTTTTGAGGGTCATGCTAAACACGGCCCACAAATGAACATTTGGGTGTTTCCAACATCTAAATAAGTCATTGAAGTCATTTGTATCCATCACTTGTTAGGGTGAAGTAGGGTGCCCCTCTAGAAGATCCTGAAGGTCCAATTGCAAACATGACTCGTAGTTGACATACTTTGGTTTTTAATTGTGTTGAGGTTATAGATGTAAATGCTTTGAAATGATGCTTTTGTTGACCAAACATGAAAAGAAGTCCATGGCAAATCCCAAAATATAATAACATTTCTAAATGGAAACTTGTTTGTTACTAAAATGATAAAGCAAATGATAGTAAGGAATATTTGGTCAAGACAAGACAAATTTCATTGATTGGGAGATAAACTAGTTATTGTTACTCATGAGGTAATAAAGGTTATAAATCAAGTTTAATCCATTGTTCGGAGCCTAGTTATGCACCTAAATGGATGCTCAGGGAAAAAGAGAATCTATTGGATGCTAACACAACAACTAATTTTTTTGGAGAATTTTCTTACTCTAACTATTGGTACTTGCTTCTCCAATCAAAAAGATCTATAAAGCATTATGTTGATGACTGCCATCTGAGGTTAAATTATTGACAAACAATCTATTAGATCCTTGGCGGCCAATAAAGTGTTTGTGAGGTCCAATTATTTATCTTAGGCAGAAGTCAGTAGACTGCCATTTGAGGGTTTTCAATTTTGTTGAAGCTTCCAATGATAGTGAATTTTAGCGTACATACGAAAACAATATACTAGACACAAGTAGTTGTTGTTATATGAACCTTTTAAATTTATGAGGCGTGGCGTCAAAATGTTATATGATAATATTCACTGTATTTCATGTTTTCTTTTAATATGTCATGATTGACTATTAGAGATTGTTATTGGAATGATTTGACTCAATTGAAAGATATTTATGCTCAAAAATTTATTATAGAATGATATTTACTAATGACATGTGATCCTATAGGGCCACAACTTCTAGCAAGTTGCTACTTATTGATTATTTATTAGAGTTATTTGATTAGTAATAATTATAATCAACACTTGTATTTAATTGGAATAACTTTTAACAACTATTTGAGAATTACCATTCTAAGAAATAATAATAAAAGAGATCAAAACTAGTTATATATATACATATATATATATATATATATATATATATATATATATATATATATATATATATGTGTGTGTGTGTGTGTGTGTGTGTGTGTGTCATGTACAAATATTTGGACCCTTAATGTTTCATGTCGTTACAACATGTAACTAACTGATCAGTAAGATAAAGTACAACACAATCTTGGACCATACATCTTGTAACGCCCCGTTCCTGGTACGTATTTATTTTGATTAAATGTTATTTTGGGAAGAGCTACTCGGTGAGTTGTAGCCCTAACTCGCCGAGTAGATGTCGAGTGGATGCGGGCTTTAAGTGATCTACTTGGTGAGTCCACGCCTGGACTCGACGAGTAGGCCAATCAGGAGGAGACCCTAATCCTTAGGGTTTGCACCCTATTTAAACATCCTTATAGCCCCATCTCAACCTCCATCACCCTCAGAGCATTCCTTATTGAAAATCCTAGCCTCCATTGGTATGTTTGAGTGATTGTTTCCTTGTGAAGGGACTTTTGGTGCACTTTGGAGCAAGTGGCAGAAGGGAGAGGTTGAGGCGGTCAAGGAAGGGGACTTAGATCCAGAACACTTTCATTTGTGGTCATCCATTCTAGTAATAAAGTTTCCATCTTGGTTATTGATCTATTAGATCTTGTTTGTCCCTAAATTGTTGCTTTTAAGCCCTAAAACCCCAAATCCTTGAAGAGAAACCTTATGGTTGGGTTATACTTTAGATCTGGACTCTCATTACCTTCTTGAAGTGTTAAGTTTCAGTCATATTGGTAATTAAGGTCCCTCTTGAGCTTAGAACCCCATTAAGAGTTTAGTTTGGACA